TACAAACGACATCCTTGAAGAGCCTTCTGAGGTTGGCAGGCGGGCTAACCTTCTGCCAGGTTTACTTTTGAAAAACGAGTCTGAACAGAATAAGGCTAGGAAGGATCAAATCTGATAAGTAGTACCTAATAATATGCAAGTTATCATTTCACTGTATACAGTTCACTTTCATCAAAATATGTTCCCATATCTGGAAATTAGTTGCTCCAGCTGAACTTAGAAGTTGGGTAGAAAAGACAGGCATAGACTTCACCAAGTAAGCACATGGAGTGAAACTTTGTAGCCAAATAAAAATAATAACTGCCACCTAAGGCACTGCTCTAGGTTCTTTATACATGACAGCTGAATCCTATCAACACCCTTTAAAGCAGATACTGTCTATTTTTTTTCTTTTTGGGTCACACCCAGCGATGCACAGGGCTTACTCCTGGTTCAGGAATTACTCCTGCGGTGCTCGAGGGACCATATGGGATGCTGGGAATCGAACCCGGGTTGGCCATGTGCAAGATAAAGGCCCTCCCCGCTGTACTATCACTCCAGCCCAGATACTGTTTCTTTTTATTTCACAAATAGGAAAAGCCTGTGTGTAGCCTCATTCTTTATTATTATTCACTGTTCTGTTCTCCCGTTGTTCATCGATTTGCTCGAGCGGGCCCGGTAACATCTCCATTTTGAGACTTGTTGTTACTGTGTTTGGCATATCGAATACATCACGAGTAGCTTGCCAGGTTTCGCCGTGCGGGTGAGAAACTCTAGGTAGGTTGCCAGGCTCTCAAGAGGGGCGGAGGGATCAAACTCTGGTCGACTGGGTCGGCCACATGCAAGGCAAATGCCCTACCCGCTGTGCTATCGCTCCAGCCTATTATTATTATTATTATTATTAATTAATATTGCTCGAGCGGGCCCATTCATGTTTGAGTTTCAGTCGTACAATGATGTGGAACACCTATCCCTCCACCAGTGTACATTTTCCAGCACCAATGTCCCCTCTCCCAACCCTCCCCTTGCCTCTATGGCAGACAATTTGTCTTTCTACTTATGGGTGTTATGGTTTGCAATACAGTTTACAGATAATGAGAGGCCATCATGTTTGGTCCTTTATCTACTTTGAGCACACATCTCCCATCCCAGGGATCTCTCTCACCATCATGATTTAGTGATCCCTTCTCTATCCCACCTGCCTTCTCCCCCAGCTCATAAGGCAGGCTTCCAACCATGGAGTAATCTTCCTTCACCTCGATCTTTAAGCAGGTAACCGATTTGAACTCAGTTGTTGCTGCAGTTGTTGTTCCAGTTCAGTCGAAACTGGAAAAAGGACTGTGTACCAGCTCAGCTCCACCAGACTAGTTGGGTGATCCATAAGCAGATTCATCTGAGTCTTAGTTTCCTTGTCTGTAAAATGGATATAACAATATCTCTCTTGTAGGCTTTTGTCAGTCAGGATTATCAAACAGGATTACATTTGCAAGGAGCTTCAGGAGACTAGTTACAGAACCTTCAGCATGACTAGTCAGCAGGGGAACAAAGCAAATAAAGACATTTTGTACTGAAATGTGGTGCCTTTGACCACCTTCCCTGTTGGCCTCATCAACTGGTCAAGCACCACCGTTGGAGAATTCAGCTCTGTAGAAAGGGCTAGGGTCCACCCATCTTCCCTCGTCACTGCCCTGCTAGATTCTGAGAAGTAATAAAATGCTAATCGGTGAAGACATAGGCATAATGGCACCCCAGGGTAGATCAATACCTGTCACTTATTGCCTGTCATGTTCCAGGACCATGCTAGACAGTTAAAGCCAAGCAACTAAGTAAGTTAACAGTCTTACCAACAAAGAGCTTATGAACCCACAGAGGAGAAAATCAAACACCCAGCAAGTAATCTGGGCTTTCGACTGCACTGAGCTGTTTGGGAGAAGGAGGAAACCAAGTTCCTTTGCAAAGGAAATTTCAGATATGCTCCCTACTCCCTTGCAATCCCACAGGCCATACTGATCCCTGCACAACTGGTTCTCTTTGTGAAATTCTCAGAGTACTTGCCTGCCTCCCACTTCAGTCTACCACTTTCACACTGATGCTTTGCCTCTGTGGTTGTTAAATGTGCATCCTGATAAGGGTTCTGCAGAAAGAGGCTTTGCAATGCCAAGCCAACATCTAATGTGAAGGTAACTGTTGTAGACATGGTCTAGCGCAGGCCATTACCAATCTTCTTGGAAAAACTGTTGGAAGAACTGTCATGCTGGATTCCAAATGGTTTGGGCAGTCATGGTACTTCAGTAAAGGCTACATTATTATAATCACGAGGCTTTTTTAAGAGAAAGGAAAAAGCGGAAGGTCTAAAAACAAATACTGAGATCAGCTCTTTGGTTAGGCTGGGGGGAGGTTTGGGAGGACAACACCTGGAAATGCTCAAGGTTTACTCCTGGTGTTGCTCAGGGGACCATATGGATGGCCAGGGATCGAACCCGGGTTGGCCATATTCAAGGCAAGTGAAAACCCACTGCACATACTCTCCAGTCCCCAGATTAGATTTTAGGCAAGAAAATGAGAACAAAGATCATGTTGTGATTTCCTACTTATGCTTGAATTTTAGAAGTTAAAAAATACTCTGACAAGCACTCCGCCACTCAACTATTCCTCCCATAGTAGTCAACTCTCAACACAATAATCTTGAGTAATAACCACAGTAGTAACAACAACAAACACTGATATCTTTCTAACGTTCTCATGGGGTTAAAGCACCTGTTCTCTCGGTCACACCCAGGAGTCAGGCTGGAGAAGCAGTAACTACACAGCTTTGACCATGGCTTTGGTAGAATCACAAAGAGATAAATCCAAACACACAAACATACAGATAATGTCCTCTACACCCATGACTTTCTACTCGGTTGAAGTAAATCACATGACCAAGTCCAATGTCAGAAATCAGAGAAATCACATAGCACTAAAGAGCCAAGGCTTTTTATTTATTTAATTTTGGGGGTGAATAACTCCACTAATCAGGAGGAAAGAACTGCCCCCCCAAGACCCCAATTACAATTACCACATTTTCTAAATGACCTTGAACTGCAACGCATTAAGAAACCTGCTTCCTATCTCCTATCTTGACAGCCAGGAAAACAGCTCCACTCATCCAAGCCAGACAGACCTGGCTATAGCCATTGCAGAAACCATTCAAAACCTTCTGTGATTTCTAGAGAGAGGAAGCTTACTGACCACCAATGAGCATGTGTCACACAATCCGGGATGATGCTCCTTTAGAGTTAATTCTTTCCAGCAAAGGCCTAAGCCCAGTATCATCTCATCTGCTAGCAGGATCACATGGTCTAACTTTTGTTTAGGCCCTTCTGCAGTGTTTTTACAAGCTATTTTTACTATTACTACACTAATAAATTATTTATGGTGGGAAACCTGAATCAGAAAATTCTAGCTATTTGAAAATAGACTTGATTAAAAACATCTCCTTTCCCTCCCAGCCTATTCTTTTCCGTAGCACACAAATTCTGGGCCTACTCCAAGCCTTAAAGATTGCAGAGAACTGGTGATACAGACCCTAATGATGGCTGCAGAGGAACGATTATGGAAGAATCTGAAGTTGGTTCTTTTGCACTCTCTTCTGAGCAATAAAAGCCAAGAATCAGGCTGTCAGCCTCCAAGTTGCCAGGGGTGAAAAAGTAGTCAGATGCCAGCAGGCTTACTAGAGCCACTCACCTGTTCCTATAAGGATAAATCATCCTTTAAGTCTTAGTCTGGGTCTGGCAAGGACATAGGGCTGGGATGTCCCTCCAACAAAATGGACCAGCTCTCCCTTCTGCAGAGAGGAACAGACTGTAACCCCCCAAAATAAATGCAAACAGGGTCATGTGACTAGTGCCAAGGATTGCGAAGAAGCTAGCCACTGTCATAGGACGTGGGCAAATCATTGCTTATTCCACCCTGGGCTTTTCAGTTCTCTGTCGTCGCCCATCCGCCGCTGACTGTCCACCACAGTTACAGTAAAAATAAAATGAAATAAATCTAAGTCTTTGACGCTGGAGAGATTAGCACAGATCCTGAGGCGCTTTGCCAATGCACCACATGACCAATTAGAGTTTGATCAACATGGGATCCCCTAAGCCCCACAGGGAGTGCTCCCTGAGCACAGCTGGGTATGCCCCAGCCCCCAAAAAGTTTTGGTCAGTCTGTGCTGGTCTCCCTCACCTGCGCTGTGAGGCCACCCCAAGGGCCGGCGCTGGGGCGGTAAGAGAGGGCGCATTCTAAGATACTGAAGGATACAGGGGCATTTGGACCGGGTTCCTCTTTCTTTAAGCTCACCAAACCCAAAACTTCGTGCTGAAATGTCCCCTAGAGGACTCGATCCAGGAGGAATAGCTGGGAGGAAGGTTCCCAAGCGCCCTTCCATTCAAAGCCCAGCCCCAGCCCTACAGCGCGAAGCTGACTACGACTACGAGCTGGGCTAGCCCCTCCCACACACACACCCCTCACCTGCTCCAGGTGGCGGCGGGCGGCGGAGGGCGCTGCCAGCCAGGGGGAGCTCAGCGCCCAGCGGAGCCTGTCCCCGCCTCTCCATCCCCACCCACGGGGTCCCCACGACGCCTAGCCTCCTCGCTCTAGCCTCCTCGCTCTCCTCTTTCCTCTACCACCGGGGGAGACAGGCTTCCCAGGGAACTCGGGGGGGGGGGGGGGGGGACAGATGGAGCGGGAGGAAAGAGGAGGTGAAGAACCGATCTTCCCCCAAACCCGGGCTTCCTAGAGGCTCCCCGCGGCTCACAGGCCGTTTGACGCCCGGGACGAGGCCCCCGGGCTGCGCCCCCCTACCCCTCACCCCATCTGCTCCAGGAGGGCGGCGCTGGGGAGCCGGGAGGGAGCGAGGGGCGGGCAGTCCCTCCTCCCAGCCCCTACCAAGCGGCGACCCAGGCAGCGCTCCTTGCTCCCAGCCGTGCCGGGAGCCGCGGAAGGACGGGGACCGGCTTCCCCCCCCCCCCCCCCCCCCACCCCGAGCGCCTGGGAGCCCCGGCCTCGCGCCCACCGCGGCTTCAAGTTTCCCCCCAGGCGCGGGGTTGTGCAAGAGCGCGGGCGCGCGAGCAGCCGGCGCGGCGCAAAACAAGCCGAGCCCATAAACAAAGCCACGTGGCCTCGGGCCGGGGGCCGGGCTAAGCGCAGGCGGCTCTTCCGGCAACAAAGCGCCCCGGCCGGCTGCCCCGGATAAATACGGCGCCGGGGACGCGGCGCGGCACTCCGGCCGCCCGCGCCCGCACCCCCGCCCGCGCCCGCGCCCCCGACCGCCGCCAGCCCCGTCCGTCGCTCGGCCGCCCCGTGTGCGCCTCGGCTCGCGGTGCCATGCCCTTCCTCGGGCAGGACTGGCGCTCCCCGGGCCAGAGCTGGGTGAAGACGGCCGACGGCTGGAAGCGCTTCCTCGATGAGAAGAGCGGCGGCTTCGTGGGCGATCTGGGCAGGTGAGGGGCGCGGAGAGCCCACACTCAGCCGGGGGAGAGAGGGGGGACGACCCTCTCCGGCGACTGTGGGTGCAGACGGCGGGGGAGGGGTGGGGGGGCGAGGACGGGCGCCGAAGGAGGGAGACTCAGGCCGGGGTAGGATGACGTTGCCCCCAGGGTGCCTGCTGAGGTCGCCCAGAGCCACGGATGGAGGGTTTGCGAGGGAGGTTTTGCGGGGAGGGCGCGGAGATTTGGTTTCTGCTATTGTTGAAGTTCTGCTTCTCCGACTCCTCCCTGCATCCTGCAGTCCCTCTGAGAAACCAGCGAGACCGACGCAGGTCTTGTCGCCAAAGGCGCAAACTTAGCTCGACTTGGGGGGTACTTCCCCCCACCCTCTTACTGCAATCTCCCTGCTTTTAAAACTGCGGGAACGCGCAGATGGCGCGCCTAGGGGCGCAGGCGTGTGTGGGCGCGCGCGGGGCTCGGCCGTGGGCACCCGGCGGGCACCTGGCGGGCGCCTCCTCCTCCCAACCTTTCCCACGCGCCAGCGGCGAGCCCAAAACGATTCGGAGGATGCGTGACCATGAAGGCGCGGGCAGGTGGGCCCTGGTACTGCCTGTGGTTCGTGGTCCCCGCGGCTCAAAGCTGGGGACAGTGCTGGAACTGCAAGCAGAGGGAGCGGGGATGGAAGCCGCAGACGTTCTGCTTCTGAAGCACCTGTTTCCACTGTGGCCCTTTTGGTCAGTTTCTTTGTATCGTTACTGCACCAGCGTTCACGGTGGTGCGCTGAGAGCAGAGAGAGCCCCCTGGCTGTCTCGGGGCTGCCCCAGCAGTTTAAAAAAAAAAAAAAGAGCCCCAGGTCCATGGAAACTATGGCCTTCTTTGCTTCTCTTTAGTAATCAAGTTGCCCGAGAGTCGGTGGGACCCTCGCACGACAGTTGGCTTGCACATCTCTTTCTTTTGAACCTGGTGAGCCGAAAATGGAACAGCATTTCCATTTCCATTTCGAGATCCGGGCAGACAGCCGATCACCTTTAGTTCTAACCTCTCTGACTTCAGTGGGGAATTCTGCCTTGGGGCCTTATTTCCACTCACTGAAATTGATCTGTGTTTGTGTGTCTGAGCCCTTGCCACTGATCTTGGTAAAACCCTCCAGAAAATAGAATGATTTTGATCACTTGGCCTCCCTTTGAGTGCCAGTGCAGGGAATATATTTTTCCCTAGGGTCTGTCAAGAGAGACAAGAACCCCCTCACCTTCATGTTAAACAGAAATACGCTAAGCCAGGCCCTGGAGTAAACGTTTGGAGAGCACTCTCAAAAAATCTGATTGGTAGGACTTCCAGAAAAGTAAGAAAAGCCTCTGGAGGATCTTCCTTCTAGTCTAGCAAAGTAGAGGTTTCTTTCTTCTGCTTCTTAAGGAATGTGGATTCTAGCAGTGAGATACTTTGTTTCTGCATATCAGCAGAGTCTAGGGAGAGAGGGCAGTGAGTGGTAGGCTAGGACTCAGTTTCTCACTGAACTATCATTGTAGGATGCTCTCAATGGGCCTTTGGAGCAAATGCACAGCCCCCGGTTTGTGTAGAGATTCACAGGGGCTGCGTGTCTCTCTCTCTCCTTCACACCTAAATGAATGCCTCTCCCTCCATCTGAGATGATTTGGACCTTTCCACCAATAGTTAGACTAGGCTGATTGCACTAGTCTAGTCACTTTAATGCTGAGAACTGTGGCAGTCACCTTCAGTATCCCAGAGGGTGATCAATAGGGTAGCCGCCTGGGATTCTTGATGAGTCACAGAGTTTGGGAATCATTTTGGTAGCTCCTTAGCAAAGCAGCTGGCTGTTTGTTTGCGGAGTATTTTCCCCCCCAACCATTGTAAACAATCCCTTCCTTGCGTAGGATGTAAAGTCTGCCAACTTCTTAAAAGCAGTTGGCCTTCTGAGACCCAGGTTCAAATATCCCTACTGTTTTCCGTCTTGGGGAGCTTTTGCTGTGATGTCAGGTCTGGGCTGCGTGCCTGCCTGCACAGGTGAAGTTGAATGCCTCTCCTGTTAGGTGAAAACAAAAGGCAAGCCCTTTCTAAGGAGGGGCAGGGAGAAGAACCAAGCTCTGCCATGGCATGCAACACTTAACTAGTTTAGTTCCAAGTACCATTCTGCGGGCCGCTGGACAGGTGAGTCCAGAAGGAGGGCAAAGGGTGCATATGGAGTGTTCCCAATTGGAGGATGGTTTTCAGGCAGACAACCGTTTTGTCCTCATTCTACCCTGTTGATTCTGTGAGTCTTAGGACACAGAAGGTGGGGTCCAGCCCTGTCCTCCTGCAGCAACAGAATGTACCAAAGCCCGCATAAGCTGAGTGTCCTGATCTGCTACCTTGGAGGGGTTTCAGAGAAGCTTCAAAGTCCTTGCTCAAATGACTGAAATGACAGGAGATGGAAAATAATGACATATGTTTCATTCAGTGGGGCAGATTAAAAAATTCAAGGAAAGCACTTGGCAGGAGCCAGGGCCATCCAAGAATGCTTCAAGGAAGTGGCATAGCACAACTTCTCCCTCTGATTCAGTTCCCACCAGTCTGCCCTCAGGATGAGTAATCTCATCTGACCCCAGGCCACTTCTCCAAGCCTACAGTCTTTGCCTTAAAGAATTCAAATGTTGCTCTCCAGTATAGCTAAGGCTGGACCAGGAAGTAGGAAGTTTGCCTCGGTGCCCTAGATGAGTGGTATATAGGAAAATAAAAATAATTGTTGGGATTTTTATGAGTGCTCACTGTGTTCAGGGCATGGTTGGAAGAGCTTCTTTCTACGGTAGACTGTTTGTTTGGCTAGAGCACATGGGGGCTAACCATGTTTGGATATGTATTGAGTTTGACAATTTAGGTATGTACTACAGAAAATTAGCTTAGAAATCTCTTTGCCCTGCAGGCCACAGTTTTCTTAAATGGCCTATTATTACAATTAAATGAGAAATAGGACCCACCCACCCCCACCTTTATCACTGCTGCCAAAATGATCTTGTTTTGAAATCTTTCCTTCCACCTTTCCCTAAAGTGGCCTTTGAGAAGACTGGAAGAAGTCTTTGTTCTTATTCTAGGCCCTATAGTTGTAAAAATCAAGATTAGTAGGAATCAACTGCAAAGTCAAGACTTACCAGCTTTCATTGAATTTATATGAAAAAAACCTTTAAGTGGTTTTTGCCTATTATTATTATTTTTAACTCATTGTCATAGTTCCTAAATGGTGGTGGCTTTTCTTGTTAAAAATTTCAATCATAATTTTCCATTGGCTCCACATTTCTTTGAAATGGACATAATTGAATTCTGAAAATAGCCTCTAACTGAATATATTACTGCTTAAAAGAAAACATGTAAGCAGGCAACACAAACAGACCCTGAGGCCAGCCTTCCAGGCCTGCTTCTGGGGTCCAAAAACCTAATACCCACATGAAAAGTGCAGGATTCCTATGCTTAAAACTTGTCTACATTCAGCAGTGGGAGAGCATCATCAATTATGTCCAATTCTTCTTAATTAGCTTTGGAAATGAGGCCCTTGGACTTAAAGCAGGTTATTGTAGTTGCTATAAAGCAAGTGCTCAAATTCCTCTGAGGAATGTTTTCCATTAGAAAAGAGTAAGATGAAATATAAACACTTAAAAATTTCTGAAGGATGGTCTCAATCTATGGGCCGGGCTCTGACATTGGTCTGCAAAGTCTGAAGAGGGTAATTAAGAATAAACTTCTTTCATGGTTCTCACCATGTGGAATCTAAGCTGTAGGTTTTTGGCCATGGCACATGTATGTGTTTTCTTTAAATTCCGTCCTTCTCATGGTATTTTTTGCACACAACATGCTTTGCCTTTGCTTCCTCCCACTCTTCACGGCTTTGGTACGAGGTGGATCTGCCATGAGACTATCCATCTTTCCCCATTTTCTCAACTTTGAAATTTCCTGTTAGCTTAAAGGGCTCTCAACTGCTCCTTTTTTCCTTGCCACCTGACATCTGATAGCAGAATAGCCAGTGGGTTTGGACCCCTCTGAACTGTGCAGTTAGATATACACGCGTGGGTGACATGCAGCCCGAACATTCACCCTTAGCTGGCTTAAGAAAGTGCCTCCAGGGCCAGAAAGATAGGACAGCAGTTAGGGCCCTTGTCTTGCACACAGTCAATCCCAGATTTGATCCTTTGCATCTCACATGATCCCCCGTGCCCTGCCAGGAGTGACCCCTGAGCACAGAGCCAGAAATTAGCCCTGAGTACCTCCAGGTGCGGCCAAAAGAAAAAAAAGATAATGCCTCCAAGAGAGGTGATTTCTGCACTAATCTCTCTGAATCCTAAAAAGATGCAATTTCCCTGAATGAAAAGGAAAAAGACTAAAGATAGTAGGAAACTCAACAAATGGTATTAAGTAGGGGGGAAATGATCAAATGATCTATCATCCATCAAGATTATCCCTCTGGGTATATTGTTGGCATGTCACCTGTCAGCATTTTAGCAAGATACTTAGTGTTACATATGGAAGTGCTGTTTGAGGTACTACTGGGAACACCAGGAGACTGGAAATTGTTTCAGATCCTCTGACCTCTGTTCCCGCATCCTCACCCAATGAGAAGGAGCTGGGGATGCACCCATGTTACTCACCATTGTGTGTCCCAAATAAAAGATCTGAATCAAATAACATCTTTGATTCAATCCAGAACTCTTCATAAGGTGAATGAGCAATTAGCAGCAGCTGGGACACTCGCCTGCACACAGGCAACCTGAGTTCAATCCAGTCATTGCATATGGTCCCTGAGCCCTGGTTGTGTGGGTGTGTGTAAGGAAGTGAAAATCTGAATCAAGTTTTTTACTCCTTGGCATCACAAATCTTGTCTAACATACAGGATTTAACCCCCACAGGGAGGTAGGAGAGACAAAACCCATTGTCTCATGATACCTCAGTATTTTTGCTGCATACCTCCTGTGAAAATTCTTCAGCTATTTATGCCCGAGGTCCCTTGTATAATAGATGAAGGCTTAGTCACACCACCCCCAGTGACAGCTCAGCCAACCGGAGGAGACAGGGTTCAAAGACCTGTGACGTGGACAGTCTTCCCGGCCCTCAACCATTTATGAATTAGGAATTCAGCTTGTTTCATTTCAAGCCCAAGATCCTTTCCTCACAGCTTGAGTCTTGTTGATCAAGAAAAAATGACATGAATCCTAAACTGCTCTCACTGTACATTACACACCACCTAGAAACTGAGTTTGTCAGTCACAGCTTTGTAAATGGGATCCTGTTTTAAAGGCACCGACAGGAGCATACTAGTTAAAAAGAAGCTTGGGTACATTTTAAATAGGTGAATTGTATAGTGCATGAATTATAGCTCTGTAAAGCTATTTTTTTAAACAGCAGCTTGGGGTGAATGGTTTGGCCAAATGAGGGCATTGTGCATTACACTGGTTCCAGTAACCATCCTTCTCCCTCCCCCAATTCATTTTTGCTTAAAGTAACATTATGGTGCCCTGCATTGCTGTTAGTGAAAGAGTACAGGGCTGTGTGTCAAATACAATGGCAGGCACTGTTGGGGAATTCAAAAGCCGTCGAAAGCCCCCGTCTCTGCCTTCCACAGAAATGAGATGATATTCCAACCTATAAGAGAGAAGTCTGGACCTGTATGCATTTCTCTTGAGTGATTTCTAATGTTTTGTTTGAGGAGCGTGTATGTTTGTGTTTTATGACCTACTGTGTTATTTATAGAAGCAGCTCGAGTTCCAGTATAGCTGCTACAGTTTATCCCGTCTTCTTTTATTCCTAGTTACTGCAACAAGGAAGTTTTCAATAAGGAAAATCTTTTCAACAGCCTGAACTATGATGTTGCCGCCAAGAAGAGAAAGAAGGATATACTGAATAGCAAAACCAAAACTCAGTGTAAGCCTGTAGTCTAGAATTTAAGAAAGCTGTATGAATATCCTTATGATGGCTTGTTTGGGGACTTGGATGAGGGTGGGGGTGGGGGTCGGGTGCTGTGAAGATCACACCTCACCTGTTAGACATCTGCTTTAACGTTTACTCTGTCGTTGGCAGAGGCCCCTGGGCTCCACTCTCAGAAATCTGCAGTGCATTTTCTGAGTAAGATCTGTCGGTTCTAAAAGTTTTGTTTATAAGGCAATCGCTGCTAGTTGGGGTTTACCCCCTTTGCTTTTCATGTTCAGTTGACAGTTAACTGGGTCCTTGCACACAACATAATCCACTGAGTTAGTTCTGGTATGTGCTTTTTAATTTTGAACTATAATTTGAGACTTAGAAATAAATTTTTTTCCCTCTTTCCTTGTATAAATTCCATTAACATTTCTAGAGGCTGTCTGGATGTGTTAACAAAGCATAAAGTTCTATTAATAAGCAGGAATTACAGATCTTTCATTTAATCCATCTGTATTACATGGTTTCCTCATACTATCTGTTTTATTTCTACTCTTTGTAGCCTGGATGAGTTGTAGACTTGGCTTGGAAACAAACGTGTAGTTGGTATTTGTTGTTTTGAGCGGAGAGTGAGAGGAGAGGGGGCGTTTACCTCGAAGCTCAGGCCTACTCAATCTGCCAGTGATTTGGGTACTTCAGACAAAGACAAAAATGAACTCCAGTATTATAGAAATTATGAACTTGCATCCTCAGTAAAGTTTCTGTAATTGTTGTCAAAGCTTTTTATACCTTGAAGTAAAATGGAAAAGAAAGTTTAAATCTTGGGCACAATACAAATATTAAAGCTGTATTTTTTGTCTCCATAGATTTTCATCAAGAAAAATGGATCTATGTCCACAAAGGAAGCACTAAAGAGGTGAGCATTCATCTGATAAAATACATGTTTGGCCTTAGGTCTTCTTGGTCTACATAGTAATTTTGGGAGGAGTGGGGTATGAACAGAAATATGATACCAAGTAAGACTCTCTTCTTGGTATGGTTGGTGGAAGCTAGAAAGTCACTAGGCAGGCTCCCCAATCATTCAGTGAGATAATAATGTATATAAAATTACTTTATAAAGATCAATATGCCGATAACAAATGTAGAGTCAAAAGCCCTGGCCCCTCCCTCATGACTGTGCCTCTATTTTTTTGTCCTACAAGCTCTTTAGCCTGCAACACAGATATGTTTGGGCCCAGGAATAATCAAACATAGAAATGATTATGCATGCAAGTTTTTATTTATTTATTTCTAATTTAATGTAGGAGTACTGCTATTTATTTAGCCATTGATTAAGCTGATTGAATTGGGAGTGAACTCCATATTACTTTTTTTTAAATTTTTTTAATTGAATATTCGTGAGGTAGACTATTACAAAGCTGTTCATAATTGGGTTTCAGTCATACAATGATCCAGCACCCATCCCTCCACCAGTGTACATTTCCCACCACCAGTGTCCTCCATTTCCCCGCCACCCCATCCCCAGCCTCCCTCTATGGGAGGCACTTTTCTCTTGCTCTCTCTCTTCTTTTCCTTTTCTTCATTATGGTTTGTGATACAGGTGCTAAGAGGTCATGGTGTTTGTTCAGGGCATTGGGTATTTTTATCGGGATGGTAAGGCTGGAGTAGGTTTTCAGTTGGGTGGCAGCTTAGGGGTGTGGATATGATTGCCAAGGCTTCTGGAAGTACAGGGAGGTGTAGGCGGGGCGGGGGGGAGGTAGCCCATCCCAACCCCAAGAAAGCCTGGAGATTTTAGTTACAAAACCCACATACCCAAATTTTCAGCAGATTATATCTTGGTGAGGTCTGTTCTGAGACGGTGGAGTCAGACCAGGGGTGTGGTGGCAATTTTGGATTGTGGAAGCAAGCAGTTGCTGGGCGCTCCCAGGCCAACCCACTCTCCCTCTTATTTACCCTGGTCTGTTCAGCCATGCATGGGTCCGAGATTAACTACAGCTTTTGATCTCTTTCAAGATTTATTTATGTGTCTCTGAAGCAATACTGATAATAGAGCTTACAGGTTAATGCTGAAGTTGGTTCATGGGAGTGACTGCCGGTGCTTCCAGGAGTATTGGGAAGTGGGCAGAGGTAGCCCATCCTAACTCCAGGAATCCTGGAGATTTCAGTCACAAAACCCGCATACCCGAATTTTCAGTAGATTATATCTTTGTGAGGTCCGTCCTGAGAGAGTGTAGTCCAGCTCGGGGTATGGTGGCGACTTTGGTTTGTGGAAGCAAGCAGCTGTTGGGGGTTCTGTTTTGGTGGCCCCCAGGCCAAACCCCCCCTCTCTAATTTACCTGAGTCTGTTCGTCCGAGCATACAAGTTTTTAAAGCCTTCCCTGTGTGAGGCATGTAGGCAGGGACAAGACAACAACTAAACTTGTGTGGCGCTTTAGGGAAAAAAGTATGTATTATCTTTACAGAGGCCATTTTTTATATAAGTAGGATGCAAGGCAAGTGTGGTGGGATGAGAGCGTTATTATTACTCTCAAGGACTTTGGAGAACATCTAGTTCCCTCTGTAATTTGAGACCAGGAGAAGATCAGTGATAAACCAAAACCACCCATCTGCCTCTAAGTCATGGCTCTCTTCTCCTACTTCCTTATGTATTCAGAAGCAAAAGAGCAAAACTTCTTTTGATTCTCTTAGACCTTAAAATTCTACTTCTGTGGGGCTAGAGAGATAGTACAGCAGTTAGGACACTTGCCTTGCCCATGACCAACCCTGGTGTTATCGCCAGTACTCCGTATGTTCTCCCAGTCCCTGCCAGGAAAGATCCCTGAGCACAAAGACAGGAGTAAGCCCTGAACATACTTGGGTGTGGCCAATATAGAAAAAAAAAAATGTTTCTCATCCCAGGAATTTGTTAGTGACCAGCTGTCTCCACCCCAATCATCAAATAACCATTGTCCAGCTCACCCTTTATACACAACTAGCTAGAACTTTTCCATTCTTATGCACTCAGAGGACAAGTGTCACAAATGGTACAAGTCACAAAGAGGAGTGTTTGACACTGTCCTTGAGGTGAGTAGCTGCCCATCTCCTACATTACGTGGCTTTCCAGAAAGACCTTTTATAGCCTAGAGAAGAGGCAAAAGGCTATAGGATGCTGAAGATGAGCCTCAAGCTTGTTGGGTCATTAGATTCAGGTAGATGGTTCTGGAGAATGACTTGAGGAGCACAGAAGTCACCTCTGCATCCTCTCTTTTTGCCTCCAGCGTCATGGGTATTGCACTTTGGGGGAGGCTTTCAACCGACTGGACTTCTCAACTGCCATTCTGGACTCCAGGAGGTTTAACTACGTCGTCCGGGTAAGTCTTGGAACCCAAAGACGTAACCAAACTATGTCAAGTTGAATTGTTTGTTCACGTTGTCTAGAAATTATTTAACCCAGAAAAAAAATAATAACCTCTTAGAACCCTAGGAATTTTCAGAAAAACAAAATGAATCCCTGCATGTCCTTTTCCCACTTCATAATAGAAGTTGGCAAGCAAATTTCCCAGACACTTGCCTGGACAGAGCGGGCTGGCAGGAGCGGGAAGGCTGGACATTCTCATCAAGCCTGTCCAGGGTGGGATTCTTTTTCATAGCCTTATTCCTCTTTTTTCCCCCAAGCTCCCTTTGGGTTTGGGTCAGTGACTCAAGCTGAGAGTAGCTGATTGGGTGCAAGCCTCAGAAGTAGGAAGAGATTTTCTCCACCATGGTATTAGCTGGTTTGGTTGTGATTTTCCCTCTCCTAGGGCTGTAGCACTTCTCAGAGCCATGTCATGGAGCTGGAGGATTGCAAACTCTCAACCAGAGCAATAATATTCAAGCCCCCATGAGGCCTGGAAGGTTCACCTGTCATTCTGGTCAGCAGAAGGCAATTGGCCTGCTGAGGCTTCCTGGAAGGTTAGAAGCGCTAAGCTGAGCTGTGAGCACAGGGACAAATCAGTTCCCTCTCCTGCTGTACCCTCCTCTAGTCCCAAAGGTGCCCCTTGGCAGGGGAGTCCCTGCAGCCAAGGGCCAGGGCCAGAAAGAGTTGAGCTCCATGGCTAAGAACACAAGGGTTTCCACCATCTGAGTATTAAAGAAAGATAACCCAGATCTGATGTCCTGATTACCAGCTAATCAGCAATATGGTCAATTTTTCCTCTTATTCTTCTTCCTGCTTGTTTTCCCTTCCAAAAGAAAATAAATCAGGGCCAGATCCATAGTACAACAGGTAGGGCGTTTGCCTTGCATGCTGCCAACCCTGGATTCAATCCCTGCCACACCATATGGTCCTCTGAGCCCCTCCAGGAGTGATTCCTGAGTACAGAGTCAAGAGTAAGCCCAAAGCACCAAGGATGTAGTCCCTCCCCCCCAAAAAAAGAAAAGGAAAAGAAAGAAAATAAAGCAAAAGAACAAGAACAAGGGTTAGGGGTGGGTGTTACCATCTTATGCAATTCACTGCATTGTCCCCTTTCATCTTTTTAATAAGCTGAAGAAATAGAAAAATCTTTATGTTTAAGCACAACAAGCTCAGTTACACAGTGAATTTAGGATCAGAAATCTGGGGAGTTCGCAGTTGAAGCTGCCACGAGTTTTCTGTGAACAAATGATTGCTAATAAAGTGGCCTGAGAGCAGTTGCAGGCTCCACCCTCAGGTGGAGTGGCCCCTCTGACTTGATGGCCCTCTCTGGAAGGACTGAGACTAACTCCGGCCTCACAGAATGGGCAATAGACTCAGTGATATATTTGTTTGAGGAAATACTCTGCAAACCAGACCATGTTATGCAAAGTCAGCCACTAATTATTATTATGACGTGGTTACCAAGATGATAAATCTCTTTAAAATATTTTTTCAACTGGGCCAAGAGAAAGAGAGAGCTCGGAGGGCTACATGTACTTTGCTCTGGGGGACCCAGGTTCAATCCCCAGCACCCCGTGTTTCTCTGGGCACCACCAGGCTTCACCCCCACACACAAAGCCAGGAGCATCCACCAAGCACCACGGCTATGGTAACCCCAAAAAGCCAAATAAACTGGGGGATTTTGAACTTGTATCTGACAGTATCTAATTATCAAATCTATCAGGCACAGTTTTCCTTAAATAATCTCAGAGAAACTGCTGAGTGCTTTCAAAGTTTTTAACGTTCTGAAATAATGAAAATATTGCTATTTTAGGAAGAACAATCTTTTTTTCCCCTTCACTGTTAGAGTGCTCTGTAATTTGAGAAATAATATGTTATTTTTATACGGGACTTAAAACATTTTAATGATAGGCACCATGTTTTGAGGTTTTTCTTCTAAAGCACTCAGTGCCCTTCTCGTATATTCTTATCCTCAAACCAACTTTGCAAAGTAGTTTATTCTGGTATGTTTGCCATTTCACTACTTTGACCTCATATGGTTTGGGGGGTTGGGGTGGTGAGTGGTCCTTCCAAACAGTGTTCAGGGGACGTGTGGACCCCTCCCTGTGATCTCAGCCATCTGGGGACAGAAGTGCTGGGGGCCATCAGGACCACCCCAGCAGTGCTTGGGGACTTTCCGTCTCTTCTCTCTCTCTTTCTCTCTCTCTCTCTCTCTCACACACACACACACACACAGACACACACACACACACACACACACACACACAAGACCTGCAGGGTTTCAGGAAAGAGACAAGTGACAGCTGGCTCAAAAGCTTGCCATTTAAAAAAAAAAAAGCTTGCCATTTTTATTATCATATATGAATGTTCTGTAATTTTTTTAATATAGAACCAGTGATGTATGTATGAGGCCCCAGGTTCAATCTCTAACACCTCTAGGTGCACATGCATGTGTGTGTGTGTGCACGCACACACACACACACACATACACCACTGCAACAAAACATTTTAAATATAGCATCCATTAAAGCAGGTCTTTTATATCTTATTTTAATAGACTTTAGTCTATCACTCATTGATTCTATTCCTCTCCCTTCATACCCACCCTAATGTCTGGACGACAGTTTTAACTGTGGGTTTTAAAGAGGGTTGTAAATCTGTAGAAGCAGTGACCTCATTTGTTTTAGGGACCGGAAGATAATACAGTAGTTAGGGTACATGCCTAGCATATACCTTGTTTGATCTTTGGTGTCACATGGTTCCCCTAACATTGCCTGATATATCCCTGGAGACCCCAGGCACTGCTAGGTTCATCAGCTCCAGAGAGTTCCAGAAACTCCAGTCCTTGGGTCCTAGCGTCCTAGCACTGAACCCCAACCAGGTTGTCCAGTCACACTTGAGAATGGCCCCCAGGTTCCCTGAACACCATTTGGGAACTCCTTCCCACCCTCAAAAATTTTCTTTTCTGTTGTTTTATATCATACCTCAATACCAGTGGATTCCACATTGTTAGAAATTTCATTTGGGAACTCGAGAGGATTGCAGGGCTGGGCAGACTAATGATGAGGCTGGAACTCGGTAACCCCAAGCTCACACTGACTCTCCCAGGAGGGCAGAGAGACCTGCAGAAACAGTGGATCTGTCACCAGCAAACCCAGAGGGCATTCACACAGCTCCTCACTAAAGTAGCTCTCAACCCTGGCTGTTAGTAGACTCACCTGTGAAGTATCTTTGCCTACAAAAACCCACCTGGAGTGGTCAAAGGGCTAGTACACTGGGTTAAGGCCCTTGCTTTCCGTCCTAGTAATCCTGATTGGAATCCTGACCCTGCCTAGGGTCTCCCAAGTACCGCCACCATTTCCTCTGATCACTGAGTCAGGAGTAGCCTCAGAGCATCACTGGGTGTGACCGACCCAGCTCTCCCCCCTCCACAGAAATTTGTAGCTGCTTCTCATTGAATTCCTTAAAAGTGCCTAGTCACTACTTAGAAGTATCTTGCAGTTGGTCCTAGTGTTTTTTAAAATTTGGGGACCAGCCCAGAAACTCCTTGAAAGCTACTGTTATATTTTCCATACATTTGAGCAGTGCTGAGGGTGGAAACACAGTGCCAGGGGCCAGACTCAGGGCCTCGCCAGACTAGGCATGATCTCTAACCCTTGATATGTCTCCTCATCCAACATTGGACTTTTGGGAGTCTGGAATCTAACAGAAACTGATGATGGAGAAAGAAATCAATCACAATCCGTCCACTGAACATTCAGTTATTCTTAGTCATAGTCACGCCCAAAACTCATTTATTTCTCTAAGTTTACATTGTAGGCTAAATCTAGGATAATCAAGGATAACATATCTTGGGGGTAATTTTAGAATAATACATATATGGAAGGATCTTTGTAAGAATACAAAAATGTAGTGGGAAAACAAAGGTAATGGTATGATGATATTATGTAATTATTTTTAATGATTAATAACTTACTTTGCAAAATGAAAGACCTAAGCATCTGCAGGCCTCTCCTGGGCAACTGTCAGTTTGTAGACTAAGATGCAGCTGGGCAGAGACTGGGCTGACTTGCAGTAAGACTTCTGAAGTGCTTTCAACTGGTTGTAAAGTTTTTAAGTTCTTTGTGTTCTCCAGTAATGCAGAGTAACTGGAAAACATCAACATTTACCCACATGACTAGCCCATTCCCTGATGAGTCATTGGAGAAAATTGAATTATTATGAGAAGATGGAATTAAGATAAACCAAATACCAGAGAAAAATTAAAATATGGCTTCAATGGCCACGGAATCAACAGTTCTTAAGACAGTTGTTGCTGGAGGTACAGGAGGTAAGGCACATGCCTTGCATGTGGCTGCTTCAGCCACCCCTGGTTCTATCTCCAGCACCTCATATAGTCCTCTGAGCACTGCCAGAGCATAGAGCCAGAAAGAGTCTCTGAATACTGGGTGTGACCCCAAGCATTGCCCCAGACCCCTTCCCCCAAAATTCACTCCTACGGATGCTCAGAGACTCCTGTCTCTGCACTCTGAAATTACTCCTGGCAGTGCTCAGGGAACCATGTGGGATGCCAGGGATTGAACCCAGGTCAACTGCATGCAAGGCAAATGCCCTACCCATTGTACCATCGCTGTGACCCCTCTCCCCCAAAATAAAAGAAACTGTTGTTGCTGAGCAGAGTGCAAATTAGAACAAGAATACAAACTCAAACTTGCCTTACTCCAAAAACTGAATTATTTCCACCAAGCCCTGCCATCAACTAGTGAGAGAAACAAAGATAAAATGCCCAGTATCTTGCCTTGACTGAAGCTCTACCTTAGCATTTGACAAACTCCTGGCCCTCCAGCCAATACAATTTATAGCTTTTGTTTGCACTACTAGCTAAAAAACAATATATGCATTTTTTTAAAATGATTCGGGGGGAACATTTTGTGACACACAAAAATAATGTGAAACTCAAGTTTTTAAGTGTAGTCT